ATTGCCTCCAACCTGCAAAAGTAGAAGCAAAGACTGAGAACCTGAACCCCACCAGGAGAGGATATGATATGTAAGGCTATGCCCCTAGCAAATGCCCCATGAGGTGTGTGGCATTTGTGCCACCTTATTTACAAGAGGGGACAGAGAGACATGGAAATAATAAGTGCCAAGGCCACATAGGAACAGAGGAGCTGACATCCAAACCCAGGTTGCTGGGCCCCAAAGCTCAGGCTCTGGATCTCATCATTCCACTATCTCACAGCCACACATCCCCTGCTCAGCCCCACTGTGTGCCCTATACATTGGTTCAGCTTGTGAGCTACACAGACACATGTTCATTCAAAAAAGGGAGCACTTCTATCCTCATGGACCCATTGGATTCAAACAATGGGCTCCTGTGCCAATGCTTGGGCTCCTAGTATAACCCATATCAAGGAAAATGCAAGGTGGTTTGCTATACCTTCATGGTAATGATTATAAGTAATCTGTTTAATATCCATCATTCTATATCTGCCATCTCTATGCCTTGGGAAAGTTAGAAAGATCAAGAGGCAGGAATGGTCACAGGAGGGACAGGAGAGAAGAGATATTGTACAATGTATCAACATATTCATCTGGAGCTTTCTGCCATCCACTGATCAAGCTTTGATCACCTACCATAATTTAATTGAAAGTGAAGTTGGATGAGTCAGCCAGCAGATGGCACAATGAGCAAGCAGCACATTACTATTGTCAAACCTTAGTGTCATTTACTAAAGCTTCCTGAAGCATCATTTTTGGGAATATTTTAGTTGGGTGATACAGCATGCCAAGGATACTCCCTCATCATCTTGTCTTCACCACCTACCCTCCTCCTGCAAAGGTAGCATGTTAAGAGGTAGTGAGTGAGGAGCCTGCACTGCCACACTCCTCCCATCCTTGGACACTATTACAGTTCAGGCCATTGGAGAGCCAGCTGGGGCAAACCCACATGAAGCCTTCTTTCTCTGATTCATCAGCAGTTCTCTGCTCAGTCTAAACAACTTGGGGTTCCACAAGGGGCAAATAAACTTTCTGGTGGGGGCCAAGAGGATATGGCCTCCAACACACCTACCCTCCACAATAATCCTCAGAACCTAAAGACCTAAAGTTGTCTCTCCATATTGCCTTCTAAATTCAGGAACAAGAATTGGAAACCTCATTAAGTAAGAATAGGAACATGCTGCTAGAATCACTGTTCATCCATGGAAGGCTGCCCCTGGGCCACACAGGGCTGCAGCATATTCACCTGTGTGCCCTATCTCTACAGGTTGCCTGCCCATCAGAGGTACACAAAGTTTTGTCAAATGACTGACCAACCAAATGAATTCTTCTCATGGACAGAGGCAAAAGTTTACCATGAAAATGGCAAGTGAGGGCCCTGGCAAGGTAGCCCAGTTGGTTGGAGTATCGTCCTGTGTAACAAAAGGTTGTGGGTTTGATTCTCAGTCAGGGCACATAGCCAACTTATGTGTTTGATCCCTGGTATGGGCACGTATGGAGGCAACAACCAATCAATATTTCTCCTTTCTCTCTCTCTCTCTCTCTCTCTCTCTCTCAAATCAATGAACATATCCTAGGGTGAGGAAAAAAAAATAAGTTAAGGTGTTGACCAGCTGCACCCAAAGCACAGTCCAGACTCCTAACAACACAAAGATCCTAATGATGGTTTCTTCCAGGTGGACCAAAGCTAGTTTCTCATACGCAACTCCCATGACCTCATGCCACAAATGCATCTGCTACAGCACAAAACTTCTCAGTTCCCTGAACATATCTGGTCCATTCAAGTGGACCTTCTGCTATTTCCCACCTAAGGAGACCCTTTGTACCTTTACGACCCTGTTCAAAGGCCCTCTTCTCTGAAGCTTTCTGCAGCCTCTCCCAGCAGTTCCTTCCTCTTCATGTTCACCAAACCTCATTCTGCCTGGTTTCACACACTGCAGTTCACAGGTCAGCATGAAAGGTGCACCCTCCCAGTCCTGAGTAATGTAGAGGGGAGTGTGCACTTGTATACCTGTACCATCAAGGAGACTCACAGGGCAGTTATCTTCTGACTTTTGTCTTATGTTGTGTATTGATCTCTGCCCTCTCCCTTTGGGTGCACTCCAACAAGTGCCCTGGAAAAATACCCACTTTCTGGTTCAGCAGTGGCCTGATGCACAAGACGCCGACCACAAGATGGAACAGGTTCTGCCCATGCAGAGGCAGCTTCGGCCCTATGTGTACTACTTAGCATACATCCACTCCTGGGGCACCAATCCTAGGGGTTGGTTCACCCATTCCATCAATATGGGGCGCAAGGACTCAGACACAATGAGGATCTGACCCCTGGGCCCATTGTGGCCTCTGACTGTGGCCCTGGCTCTCAGGTACCTGAGGGGCTGGTAGAGACTGTCAGGTCAACGTTGCAGGGTGAATGGACAGCCTGCCCAACCCTGCCTCCTCCCTGCTACCTTAGTGGGTGTTAGTGCCCAATCAGCCTTTGGACTCCTCCCTCTCAGCATCAGCTTCCTGAAAGACCCAACCTAAAATGATTGGTTCTAGAATGGTCCCAAAAGATGGAGGTAAGATGGGGGTCTTGGTGCATAATTACTCCTCACCCACCCAGTTGGAAATGAGGAACCCATCCTGGGGGCAGGTGGTGTGCAGACAGCCCTGACACAAGGCGACAGCCCAGTCACTGGACCTGCAGGTGGTAGAGGAATGTCTTGGCAGGTGAGACGATACAGGCAGGTGCAATGTATGTGAATGGATGGAGGTGACTTCTGTCCTTTGATGACCCACAGGAGATGACCAGCTTAGGGAGACTAACAAAGTGAAAACTAAGGGAGAAGCCCAGAGTCTCCTCCATAGATTATAGAGTAGTCCCCATCTCAGGCAGTGGACAAAGGTCAAAGCCAGGATTTGACTGGAGTGGCTGAATTTCAAGGATGTTCAAAGGTGGTTGAACATTCAACTGAGGCAGGTCTGTCATCCCAACATCAGAAACCCCCTTGGGAAAACCTGCATCCCTGACACAAGGAACAGGGGCATCTGGGCAAAGGCCTGAGAAGATCTGGACTCCTCAGATTTCTCTGGAAGGTCTGAGTCTGTGGCAGCAGAGCCTACCCCTTCCCACCCCATGCCTGGGGGAGAAAAAAAGGCACATGGCGTTCCCCACAGGGGCCCTCCATCTATGCAGGGAGGGTCACTAACCACCACAATTTGCTGAGGGATTGGCAGTGCTACAACCCAGACAGTCCCAGGAAAACCAGGGAGAGGTGGCAGCCTACTGGCAGGCAGGACCCAACCGCACAACACAGGCACGGCATGCAGGGCCTGGAAAGGGAAGAAAGGGACTACACCTCCCCTCCCCAGAAACTGCAAGAGAGACCCCAGGGAGACACTGAAGGAAAGGAGCCAGGGGCTGATGACGAGGAATACCACTCACAAGGAGTTCAACATAGACAGGTGGTGGTGGACGACACAACATGGCCTCCCTGGGGGCACAATGGATGGCCAATTGACCAAGGTACAGTCTAAAATGGAAACTCAAAAGAGTAAATATGGACAACAGGGGGCTGAGGCAGCTACCCCAATAGACAAGTCATGATGCCTTGTCAAGGTTCTGCCCCTGAGCCAGTTTTTAGACCCGGAACCATGGACCAGGGAGGTGCCTGGGTCCCCAGAGAGGACTCTGCAGCACCATGGCTGGAAGACACTGGAATGATCCCCCAGCCCTTCCCAAAGGGACCACCAGCTATGTACTGGGTGACTAAACATTGGAAAGTGGGGAACCCAGACAGTTGGAGGATGGGAAAATTCAGTGCCCAATCTGATACTGAGTTGGGAGACTCAGTAAACTGTATCCATATATGCTTAAGGAAGGCCTCTTGTGCTAAAGTTTCTGAGCAGAGGATGTCACTGGGTCAAAGGTATACTGGGCCATTCCTGAGGATTTCAGTGCTTTTGTGTAGGGAGAGTCCTGCATCCAATATACTCCAGAATGAGGTGTTGAGCCTAGTGAGATGTCTTCTGAGAAACCTTTCAGAAATAAGACAAAGTGGTATTATAGCATAAACTCAGCTGGGTAAAGAGAAAATGCATAGCAAAAGAACTGGGAGAATATGGCCAAATTGTGAATGTTCTTGCCTCCTGGTAATGCATCACGAGCATCCTTTGTCCTGACTCTTCATGCACTTTCTGTCCTTTCCATAGTGGACACAGTGAGCATGCAGATACTCAAGAGTCAGTGGAATACGTCTTCTGCACATGGCCCATTAGTCCACCCATTGGTGCCCTGTAGCCACGGTCCTAAGATGACAACACGTGCTCCAGGTCCCCCATACCCAAATCTCCTAAAACACAGGAGCTGGACTGCACAGCATGATGTTTGTAAACCCACCCACAAGATAGTGAGGGCCTGGAGCGTGGGTCATGGCTTATTTGCTAAGAGAATGAGGAGAGTAAAGAACACATAGGGGAATAGACCAGGAATGATGGAAACATGAAAATAAGTGGCTCCCAGCCCCCACCCCCAATTACAGTTAACATAACCATTTGTAATGTGAATGTGGATGAAGGCTGCCAGAAGTTCACAGAAACTGCCAAGGTGCCAACTCTGCTGTGCCACGGTCTGTGAGCAGGCCCCACACCTAACCAGGGAGTCCGTCAGCTGTCCGTGTCTGCAGGATCCCTGTAGTGCAGCTTCTTTCCACAGCCTTGGAGTGCCAGGAAGACAAAACCAGAATTAAGTACTGCTCTCAGGTTGGACCAATCGATCTGGACTGTGCTGAGAGGGACACAGGCAAGCAGAGCTGTTTAGGGGGCAGAGAAGAAGGGAGGCAAGGGAGTGTGCATATTGGAAACAGGCCTGAGGCTCAGGAGTCCAAATGGGAGAGTTGGGGAAAAAGTAACAAGGCTTGCTGTCTTCCCACACAGCCAAGGCTGCCCCCCATCTTCTACATCAGTCCAGGGCATGGAACTGAGGCCAGGGGTGACCAAGCAAATTAGAGACAAGGAGCCCTTTGTCAAGGGCAGACTGCTGGACCCAAGGGCACCTCCTCTCAGGGGACCTCTCATCCCAGGTGGCAGGCAGCCTCCAGCGGGAGGGGCAGCGGTACAGTACCTGGCCTGTGGAGTCACTTACAATTTGGGAAGTCTAGGTGAACAGTGAGTCCAAAGCAGGCCTGCAGGGAGAAGGAAATCAGTCCCTGAGAAGCACGAGGAGGGATCTGAAACAGAAACCACCAACATGGGATTAGCATCCTAATTTCACAATGCGTGCCCACAACATGACACAAAAAAAAAGACAAGCAGCTCAGGAGAAGGATGGGCCACAGGTAGTTCTTGGAGGAGGAAACAGGAGATGCTGAGAAGTACAGGAGGGAAACCAGGAATTTGGGACAAGCAGCTCTGAGCAGGGTGGTGCCAACAAACCTGTGGCAGGAGCAATCTGGAACCTCTCAGGGCCTCAGAGCCAAAGAATGATGCACACTGGGGTGAAGAGGGACAGAAAACTGCAAAGGCAAATGCTCAGAGGGCTATGGGGGACAGTGTGTTCTCTCTGGTGTCAGCAGGGGGACAAGAAAGGGAGGCTGACTTTTGGCAGGTGCCCTGGGCTCTAAAGAGGTTGCTGTGTTCATGAGCAGAGCCCCCTCAAAGAGCAGTGACAGAAATGTCACAGACTTCCTAAAAGAAAGACTGGGTGAGTTATGGGATGGAAATGCAGGCTGGGGAAGAAGTGGATTTTTTTTTAGGCAGTGAGTATTGTAGTAGTGTCTGTGGGTGGGGGGCCCCCACAGAGGTATGGCAGGTGGCTGGGAGGGAGCAGGAGGAGTCCCAAGAAGGACCCAATATCCCCTGGGAGCTTCCAGGTCTCCAGGGCACCTGTGCAAGGCCAAGCAGTGGAAGGCAGGAGGGGGCCTGGTCTGGCAGGTGAGGGGAACCTACCTTCCTTCACTGGGCTCTTACCTGCCAGGACTTTGTTCCTGGGAGGGGATGGGTAGCAGTTGGTGAGAGAATGTCACCTGGCAGCCAGAAATCAGACAGTTTTAGGTTTCTGTGCCCACGTTTTATTTGTACTAAAAATCAGGATTGAGTTGCAACTGGGTCCCTAAGACAGTGGCAGCCAAGGCCATCCCACCCTCACCTGCAACGTGGCCAGGCCACTCTTCTTGAGTCCACGCACCCGGCATGGAATTGACCTTGCAGCCACCACCCTTGGAGCTCCCCATCATTAGACCACCCTCCTCACCTTCACTGTTCTGCTCCCCAAAGGAGAGATCATACACCCTGTTCTCAGCATACAAGAGTGATGAAAAAGGAGTCCTTCTGTAGTGCCATCACTGTCTCCCACCAGCAGCCATAGAGTGTCTCTAGCTCACTGGGCAAGTTCCATTTCTTCAAACAAGAGGATTTGGGAGGAACACCACAAGCTGGCCAGTCGGGAGACCCTCCTTCATGTATTGAAACTCCCACACGAGGTTCTGAGATCCTCAGTGACAGCAGCTGGAAACAATATTTGGAGTGAGGAGTGGAGGAAGAGAAGCCAGCATGGATGGAGTTGGACCTGGTGATCATTAAAGCCCCCTGCAGCCCTGAGGCCTAAGTCCTATGAAGGTACCCTCTGTCCCTCACCTCATGGCCAGCATTCCTGTTACCGCCAGCTTCTGCAAGAAGAGAGTAGGTGCAGCTCACTGGAAAAGAAAGGCCTCTGTTGAGTCAACATTTCTATGCAACTACTGTGGCCCGGGCACTCAGTTTACAGAAAACAGGAAGACACAAGCCTTGCCTTCAAAGAACTCGGAGCCCCTGAGGGGCTCTCAGTGGCAAGAGTTACAACCCTGGGAGGTAAGAGCACAGTGAAGGAGGGTATGTGGGAAGGTACAGGGTGCTACCAGAACGGGGACACAAGAGTACCTGATGCTTGTTTGTGGGGTAAAGAAGGGATGTTAAAGTTGCACCTGGAAGGACAGGAGTTTGCCAGGACAGGAGGAGGCAGGCACTCCAGGCCTCAGAAAGCACAGGCGCAGAGGCAGAGTCCTGGTAGAAGGCATGCAGATGCCCAGGGTGCAGCAAGTCTGCAGCACTGTGACCCAGAGGGTGATGAGGGAGGGCTGGGACCACTGAAATGCCCTCCTAGACCCCCAGGTGTTTGCCCTTAAACAAGAGAGGACTCCACAGGGTTTCCTATCTGGGGTTGATGAGAACACATGTGCAGTTTGATGGCAACTTGTAGGACCCACTGGAGGAGGAAAGACAGGGTTGCTCAGGCCAGTGGGGGAGACTTAGGTAATAGCACTGGCCCCAGACCATGAAGCCTGAACTCAGGGAGTAGCAGCGGGGACAGGAAAGAGTAGCACTTGTTCTGATCAGGCATTTTAGAGGCAGGGACAGGGGCCTTGGTCATCAAATAAAAGTGAGGATGAGCATGGGTCAGTGGACAGGAGTCAAGTGTGGTGGCACCGAGAGGATTGAGCCCTTAACTGAGAGCTAGAAGAGTAGAAACAGCCGATAGGGAAGGTGGATTTGTTTGAGACATGTCATCTCTGAGGGTCAGCAGGAAACACAGTGGGGATTTTTCTTCTCACCTGCAACAAAAAATGCCAATGTGAAGACCTTAGCTCAAGGCACTACCAGGGGCTGGGGTGGGGTGGGTAGGGGTATGGAGGATCTTGCAGAAAGCAGAGCTGGCCTGGGCATTCAGACCTCAGGTGCAGGACTCAGTCTAGTTGTCCTGTCTGGGGCCTCCATATCCCCCGGGGTCCATTCTCAGGGTCCCCTTAGGTCATTCAGGCCCCGGGCTGCCATATTGCTGCATGCCTACTGGTGCAGGGCAGACTGAGGGCAGGTGTCATGATAATCAAAAGGGCACTGCCTGGCCTTGGCCATTGAGTGGGAAGCCACCTGCCACGTGGTTCCCAGTGCCCAAAGGTACATCCTTGCCAGCTCTGCCCCACTCTCCTGGTGGCTCCCCCCTCCTCACAAGCTAATCCTCTTCAGCTCCCTCCTAGTTTCCCTCTGCTCCATCCCCAGCTATTTGCAGTGGAGACATATATCTCCATGGCAACCCACCCCCTCTTCCCTACTCCAAACCCAGATCCACCTCCACCCTGCAGCTCCATCCTCTGCTTTCTCACAGTTCTGCCCCCTGCTACTCCCATAGCTCTTTCCCACATTTCACTACCCCCCAGTTCTGCCTCAGCCACAGATCCTTCCCATCTACTCCCAGAGCTATTTCTCACCAGTCTGCCTTCAGACACTGTCCCCCAGCTCCTCCACTACCCGCCTCCGCATTCACCCCCTCTGAGCTCAGCCTCCCCAGCTTCCCTGCACCCCCTCCCGCAGATCCTCCTCCACCAGCTTTTCCACAGCTCTGCCAACCCCATCCCACAGCTCCTCCCAGCTTTCTCACAGTTCAGACCCCAGCTCCGCCTCCTCCACGCCCTCATGCTAATCCTCCACCAGCTTTTCCACAGCTCTGCCAACCCCATCCCACAGCTCCTCCCCAGGTTTTTCACAGTTCAGCCCTCAGCTCTGCCTCCTCCACTCTTTCCCGCATATCCTTCTCCACCAGCTTCTCCACAGCTCCCCCACCCCCATCCCACAGCTCCTCCAGGTTTCTCACAGTTCAGACCCCAGCTCCACCGCCTCCTCCCCCTCACGTAGATCCTCCTCCACCAGCTTTTCCACAGCTCCAACACCCCCATCTCACAGCTCCTCCCAGCTTTCTCACAGTTCAGCCCTCAGCTCTGCCTCCACCCTCCCCTCCCGCAGATCCTCCTCCACCAGCTTTTCCACAGCTCCCCCAGCCCCATCCCAGAGCTCCTCCCCAGCTTTCTCAGAGCTCAGCCCTCAGCTCCGCCTCTTCCACCCTTTCCCGCAGATCCTCCTCAACCAGCTTTTCCACAGCTCCAACAACCCCCTCACAGCTCCTCCCAGCTTTCTCACAGTTCAGCCCTCAGCTCTGCCTCCTCCACCCTTTCCCGCAGATCCACCTCCACCAGGTTTTCCACAGCTCCCCCAGCCCCATCCCAGAGCTCCTCCCCAGCTTTCTCAGAGCTCAGCCCTCAGCTCCGCCTCTTCCACCCTTTCCCGCAGATCCTCCTCAACCAGCTTTTCCACAGCTCCAACAACCCCCTCACAGCTCCTCCCAGCTTTCTCACAGTTCAGCCCTCAGCTCTGCCTCCTCCACCCTTTCCCGCAGATCCACCTCCACCAGGTTTTCCACAGCTCCCCCAGCCCCTTTCCACAGCTCCTCCCCAGCTTTCTCACAATTCGGGCCCCAGCTACTCCCCCTGGCTTTCTCCATTGGTCTCACCCAGATACTCTCCCCCCCACCACCACCCAGTCCCGCCTTCTCCCCAAGCCCTGCCCCGCTTTTTGCCTAGCCCTGCCCACTGGCCACTGGTCAGGAGATCCCAACCTGCCCTGGTCATCTTGTGAGCCTCAGTGTCCGGTGAGTCCAACAATGTCTCCTAGCAACCGTGGTCTGCATGCGTGTCTAAGTCTCTACCCGGCTGCTTACCTGCGCGCCAGCTAAGTGCCTGCAGAATCCTGGCACGTGTGCTGCTACGTCATGGAGTGCTGCTGTGTCCTGGCGTGCTACTTCCGGATGTATGTGTCTATGTGCCTTTGTAAGCCAGCAAGAAAAGGGGTTTTTGTCTCCGCCAGCTTGGGGTAGCTCACCAAAACCAGTGGGTGTCAACGGTCACCTGTCAGCGGTCCTGGAGAAGCTGAGGAGCAGCCAGGATGCTGGCCTGCTGCTCTGTGGTCTCAGAGTCCCAGAATCCTCTCCTCCTCAGGTCCTGGGAGGCGCTCTTCTCCACACTGGCTGTCTCCCTGGGCCGCGGGGAGTAGGAGGCCTGTCCTGCCCTGTGTGGTGGTCTCAGCTGGGTCAACCTAGAATAGCGACCTGCATAGCCAGTGGGGCCAGGAGATCTGAGTCTCCAGAAGGGAGTGGGGATGCTCAGTTCGGCTGCAGGCCTGCTGGGCCACCACCAACAACAACAAAAACCCTCAAATAAATGATTTAACTTTACATTTAAAGGAACCGGAAAAAAAAAATCAAAGCCCAAAGTAAATAGAAGGATGGAAATAATAAGTATCAGAGCAGAAATAAGCTACATAGAGTATAAAAAATAACAATACAAAAGATCAATGAAAGCAAGAGCTGGTTCTTTGAAAAGATAAACAAAATTTATAAACTTTTAACCAGACCCATCAAGAAAAAAAGAGAGGACCCAAATAAATAAAATCAGAAATGAAAGAGGAGAAGTAACAACTGACACTAAAGAAATACAAAGGATTGTAAGAAACTATTACAAAGAACACCCACCACAGCTCAGGCCACACTTTTCTGGCTCCTCCTCTGGCTACCTTCACTTGCCCACCATCCTTGTAAGTGTGTGTGTGCCTGGGAACAGGCTTCTGCTGCCTCTGCTCACAGAAACGACTGTAGTGGTCCACATGTACAGGTCTGTCCTCCCTGCTTCCTGCTTGGCCCTTAGGCTGTCACCACCTCATCCAGACCCCAGGCTGTGTGGTGCTCAGCTGGTTGCCCATGACAACCCTCCCAGTGGGACCTACCCAGGATTACATTGAGGGGAATGAGATTGTAGGGTCCCCAAATCCTTCCCATTTGATGATGTGAGGGCAGGGGGAGCTTTCTCTTCCTGGAGACGGGGGTCTGATGAGCTGTAAAAACATGACCTCCTTACATGACATGGTTTTCTGTGCAGCTGGATGGGCCATCATGTGGTCCCTGCACAGGTAGGGCAGGAGAGAGCCACTGCTATGATTAGCAGAACCAAACCCTGAGTAAGGTGCCACATGTGTTTCCCACCAGCTGGAACCTCCTTGGTCCTGTTGGTTTCCGATCCCTGTTGAGTAGACTGTTCTGGTATGTTAGCCAACATTGCTGTCTTGTCCCTAATGACCTTGACTCATTACCCCTCTTGTCCTCGTGCAGGTGAACAAGCAAAGGCAAGTGGAAGAGTGTGTCTTCCTCAGGCCACAAAGCAGGCACTAGGTAGGAGGGCACTCAGCCCCCTTTGTGCCTTTACAGTGACCTCAGTTCTCCCTAGGGATGCCACCCATGCAGACCCCGTCTCCTTATTGTGATTTTGTGGCGTTGATGAGAATAGGGCCCAAAACTCCATGGTGGAAACTAGGCATATACCCCAGTAGAACAAATACAAATGGCCAGGCCACAGGGGAACATCCAGCCTCTTCCATAAATAATTCAAACCCAATGACAGGTCGACCCTTTGTTATTCAGCAGGTGGGTGAAGGTTAAGCACAGTGGCGATGCTCAGAGCCCCCAAGCATATGAGATAATTGCACCCTGGCCCATGGTTGGCAGGGCATACACGGGTGAGCTTCTGTGGAAGGCCATTTGCTGGCATCTATGAGCATCTCAGATGTGCATGCATGTGACCCAGGCCTCTGCCTAACAAGTCGACAGTCAATGAGTGTTTGTGGTATTGTCCCTTATAGTAGCAGAAAATGCAAAGCAGTCTGTGACTCTTCATCAGTAGGGGAAAGTCAGTCAATATTGGGGCCCACAATGGGATACTATGCAGGCAGCAAAATATGGGCTAGAAGCAAATGTAGAAGTGAAAGAATGTATTTGCTGGGCTGTGGATGGCGAAACCATTCTCCACCCTGTGGAGATGTGAGGGAAGATCTTTGCCTCTGTGGACATTTGCCTGGGTGGTCACATCAAAGCACCACAGCCCTAGTGGCTTAACCAACAGACATGTATTGTCTCACCGTTGCAGAGGCTGGAGGTCAGAGATGGAAATGTGGACCCAGTTTGCCGATATTGAGGACTGAGAGAGAAACTGTCCATCCCTGCCCCCAGGCTTCTGGTGGTTTTCAGGCAAGCTTTGGCACCCCTTGGCTTGTAGGTCTCAGCCTTCATCTTTACCAGGTGTTCTTGTGTGTGCATGTCTGTCTGTAAATTCCCTCTTTAGGTGAGGACATGGGTCATTGGAGGAGGGTCTCATTTTAACTTGATTACCTCTGTAAAGTCCTTTTCTTTATGGATAAGGTCCTGGGGTGAGCAAGAGGTGGGGTCCAGAGCCCAGGGGTAGGAGACTCAGCCAGAGAGAAAGGGAGGGAATGCAGAGGAGGAAAGAGAGGAGATGGGCACAGGGACTGTCAGGACACTGGGTTGGGAAGAGTGAACAGGTGGCAGCTTTTGTCCTCAGAGCCTTGTCTTTGAGAGTGGGTGTGTTTTCATAAACAGGAGGACATAATAGCTGATATCAGGTTTATGTCCTTTAAAGACAGGAGGGGGAGAACCAAGATGGCAGCATAGGTTAACGCCGGAGTTTGCTGCCTCGAACAACCACTTCAAAAATACAACTAAAAGATGGAACAGACATCATCCAGAACCACAGGAAGGCTGGCACAGGTAGGGCAGGAGAGAGCCACTGCTATGATTAGCAGAACCAAACCCTGAGTAAGGTGCCACATGTGTTTCCCACCAGCTGGAACCTCCTTGGTCCTGTTGGTTTCCGATCCCTGTTGAGTAGACTGTTCTGGTATGTTAGCCAACATTGCTGTCTTGTCCCTAATGACCTTGACTCATTACCCCTCTTGTCCTCGTGCAGGTGAACAAGCAAAGGCAAGTGGAAGAGTGTGTCTTCCTCAGGCCACAAAGCAGGCACTAGGTAGGAGGGCACTCAGCCCCCTTTGTGCCTTTACAGTGACCTCAGTTCTCCCTAGGGATGCCACCCATGCAGACCCCGTCTCCTTATTGTGATTTTGTGGCGTTGATGAGAATAGGGCCCAAAACTCCATGGTGGAAACTAGGCATATACCCCAGTAGAACAAATACAAATGGCCAGGCCACAGGGGAACATCCAGCCTCTTCCATAAATAATTCAAACCCAATGACAGGTCGACCCTTTGTTATTCAGCAGGTGGGTGAAGGTTAAGCACAGTGGCGATGCTCAGAGCCCCCAAGCATATGAGATAATTGCACCCTGGCCCATGGTTGGCAGGGCATACACGGGTGAGCTTCTGTGGAAGGCCATTTGCTGGCATCTATGAGCATCTCAGATGTGCATGCATGTGACCCAGGCCTCTGCCTAACAAGTCGACAGTCAATGAGTGTTTGTGGTATTGTCCCTTATAGTAGCAGAAAATGCAAAGCAGTCTGTGACTCTTCATCAGTAGGGGAAAGTCAGTCAATATTGGGGCCCACAATGGGATACTATGCAGGCAGCAAAATATGGGCTAGAAGCAAATGTAGAAGTGAAAGAATGTATTTGCTGGGCTGTGGATGGCGAAACCATTCTCCACCCTGTGGAGATGTGAGGGAAGATCTTTGCCTCTGTGGACATTTGCCTGGGTGGTCACATCAAAGCACCACAGCCCTAGTGGCTTAACCAACAGACATGTATTGTCTCACCGTTGCAGAGGCTGGAGGTCAGAGATGGAAATGTGGACCCAGTTTGCCGATATTGAGGACTGAGAGAGAAACTGTCCATCCCTGCCCCCAGGCTTCTGGTGGTTTTCAGGCAAGCTTTGGCACCCCTTGGCTTGTAGGTCTCAGCCTTCATCTTTACCAGGTGTTCTTGTGTGTGCATGTCTGTCTGTAAATTCCCTCTTTAGGTGAGGACATGGGTCATTGGAGGAGGGTCTCATTTTAACTTGATTAGCTCTGTAAAGTCCTTTTCTTTATGGATAAGGTCCTGGGGTGAGCAAGAGGTGGGGTCCAGAGCCCAGGGGTAGGAGACTCAGCCAGAGAGAAAGGGAGGGAATGCAGAGGAGCTGGGCACAGGGACTGTCAGGACACTGGGTTGGGAAGAGAGTGAACAGGTGGCAGCTTTTGTCCTCAGAGCCTGGTCTTTGAGAGTGAGTGTGTTTTCATAAACATGAGGACATAATAGTTGATGTCAGGTTTATGTCCTCTAAAGACAGGAGGGGAGAGGCAAGCAGAGTGGGGATGCTCATGTGGAGTGTGGTAATGAGGCTCAGGCCCTATGATGATGATGTGTAGCCACTGGTTCTGTCTGTCCTCTTAGGGGCCAGGTACTCACAGCCCTGTGGAGACTGAGCTCCGCCAGGTACTAGGACCCGGCTGAGTCTTCAGACCGTTCTGCTGCTCCTGCCACTGCACAGCTCTGAGGAGGAACGACCCCCTTCCCCAGGTACAAGGAAAAGAGGCAAGAACAGAGGGTGCAGTCAGGGCGGCCCAAGATCATGGGCCATCTTTTCATTCCTAGGTGCCACCTTCTCAACTGTAGAATGTGGTGACAATGGCACTGCCCACCCAGTTATTTGAGGATTGAATTCTAGGATCCGTGGATCATGCCCATCCCAGGGCCTGATATGGGCATGGTGTGTGGGTACTGGTGCCAATTGTTCTTGGTCCTGTTATTCCTTTCTGTAGGCTGCAGTGGGGGCCAGGTGTGCCTGCTGAGAGTGGATAGTATTGGTGCAGCCAGGGAATGGAGGAGGGTGGCTCCCCAAGTGCTCGAGTATAGACACCTGGCAGGATGATCTGAGCTCACACGGTGGTATCCCAGGGCCCAGCTGAGGTTTGATTATAAGGATTTACAATCAGGAGCCTTGGAAGAGGGACCAGGGTGCATGGGGACTGCAGCACCTTGGGGTGAAAAGAGGAGAGAGCTGACAGTGTTGGAGGGGGTGGGGGGGGGAAGAAGCAAAACCCAGGAGGGTCTTTGCTGGGAGAGGACTAGAACCCACTCATCCGGTGTGAAGCCAAAGCTCCCTTTCTCCCTCATCTGTGCTCCCCTGGCCTCAATGACCTCCTTTGTGGAACTGACCACACCCTGTGCTGAGTGCCTCTCCTTACCTTGTCTCCACCTTATTCTTGAGCTCCCCAAAGACTCCATCTGATTGGCAAGACATCTGCATCGCCAGCCCTTTCCATGGGGCCTGGCAGCTGAGTGTATGGGGAGAGGGAGAAGGAGCCATCACTCTCTGCTCTCCCACCATCCCTGTCAGTGGGGTTCCAGGGCCCCAAGGGACACTGGGGGGAGAGGTCAGCCCACAGACCATGAACATGGAGGGATGATGCATGATGCTTATTGACATTCACACTTTGGGGTTTCCACAGGGCACTTGAGGCCCATAGATCTCTGGGGAGATGGAGTTCTCCTGCCTCTCCTTCTGGCAGCCTTATGCAGGCTTGGTCTTAAATGGGTCAAGACTCTGGAGACTCATTGGGGACCCTAGTGAGCAGCCACAGGAACTGCACCATCGCCATCCACATTGCTCACAGGGACTGGGAAGACGCCCTCTGGCGGGAGCTGCTGCTGGAGAGGCTGGGGTGGAACCCCATGCAGATTCAGGCTCTGCTCCCAAAGGGAGAAGTATGGGAGAGGAGTGATCACTGGCAAGGCATGACACCTCGAGAGCCACTCACACCCCTCCAAAAGTACCCCCAGGACCTTGCTCAGGAGTTTGGGGCTTGTTTTCTTTTGAACCTGTGGTGGTGGCGCTGTGGTTTCTGTAAGCAGCACACCTTCAAAGGGGCAGAAAGGGGCCCAGGCCGGGGTTTCGTGGGCCGAGTTCCTACGACCTGGGTGAACCCTTCTGTCCACACTGGGCCTCAGTTCCCATTGCTGATCTGAGAGGCAGGGACAGGTCCAAGTCTGCATGTGGTGTCGCCTATGTGTTTGTATGAATGTTTATGTGTGTATACACACACACGTGTGTGTGTGTGTGTGTGTGACAGACCAGGGGAGGCTGCACAGCACACAGAGAACATCGAGTAGCTTCCAGACTCAGGCTGTCTGCCTGACCTCACACACCTGCCCCACCCCACAGCCCATAGCATCCTGGGCACATTCCCTCACACCTCAGTGGTTGAGGTCCCACACCAGCTCCTTGCACCTGGTGAAGAGCTTTGGACCTGAATGCCTGTGGGTTCCCCACAGCAGCCGGGGCCTTTCTGACCTGTACGTGCTGCCCACAGTAGTCGGGCTGGGACCTGCCCATTAGTGGACCAGACTCTCTCCTCTTCATTTCCCTCTCTCCCCCGGCCTCACCCAGAATTCCCTGAACAAAGTTTGACACATCGGAAGTGCTCAGTCAGAGGTTCCCAGCTCACTCCATGTCCCTTTGGTGAAATCAGCTTAGCCCCTAGTGCAGTAGTTCTCAACCTTGGCTGCACATTAGAATCACCTGGGAATCTTTTTAAAATCCTGACTTCTGGGCCTCATCCTCCGGAATGTTTCTTTGTGTTTCTTTGTTATGGGGTGGGGCTACAACATTAGTAACAAAGAAACAGAATTTCTGGAGGATGAGGCCCAGAAATCAGGATTTTAAAAAGATTCCCAGGTGATTCTAATGTGCAGCAAGGTGGAGAACCACTGTGTGGGTGAAACTCTGAATAACTGTTTTCTCTCACAGGAAGCCTTTGGTTTATGGAAGGAAAAACGTCTCAATGTTTCTCTCGTGGTGCCCAGGGCTCCTTGACATGGGGGAATCTTTGCGAGCCCAGTAAACGTGGCTTCTGAGGAGGAGGTGGTGGAACTGGAAAAGCAGGCTGTACTGACCAACCTGAAGCAGAAGTACCCGACTGCACTTCCAAACCCCAGGTGGTTACTGGCCATACCCAGCAGGAAAGGGGGAAAGGATATCTTCCAGGTAGGCATCCCACAGCACCTGATCCCCTAGGGGCAGGAGGACTCCACAGGAAGGTAACCCAGAATCCAGCTGAATCATGACCATCAACAGGCCATCATGCCGAGGATGTAGAACTGAATTGGCACCACCGTGGAGAGCACTACCCACCATCTGCTGTTCACCTAAACAGATTGTTGTGCCCATATATAGGGGACTGTCCTCATGAGATGTCTCTCTGGGCTCATTGACTATCTCAAGGACTCTGACCTTTAGGGAAAAGGGAAAGCTGCTAGGAAATATCTTGGTGCTATCACTCATTTTGGCCCTGCTCATTCCTGCAATGTACAAAGAGAAATGTTTTAGGAGAATGGGTTAGTGTTCAGGACTCCCTTATACATTCTCCCCTCTCTCTGTCTGGTCAAACTCAGAGAACACTTCAGGAGCACCCAGGTGTCATTGTGGGAGGTCTGGGAGTGGGCACTGAACGATTGCCATTGCCAGAGGGTAACCAGCAGGGATGAGCTCATTCACCTTGAGGGAGACACCAGACTTTGAAAGAAAGCAGCTGTCTGTCCTGGCAAGTGACTGGTCTGCTGTAAAAGTGTCCCTTGGCTCACGAGGGCTTGTGTTACACATGTTGTATCACTACCTCATGACCCAAGAACGGATCTGAAATACAGCTCTAATGGAAAAGTGATGGGTAGAGGTTTTGTTTTTTGTTTGCTTGTTTGTTTGTTTTTTCTGTGTGAGCAATCTTGATTTGGGTCCCTACTAGCAGGGTTAGTAATGGTTGTTAGCGGTGAGGATGATGGGCTTTCTCCCATACGTTGACTGGAATGGCCGATCTTCTGAGCCTGACTGTCTCTGTCATACACCACTTAGCAGATGGAGTGGCCAGGTTCTAGGTGGACTTCTCTGCAAGGCCCCTGGAACTTGGGCTAGAGATACTCAGATGCTGATCAGAAACTTCCTGGCATCATAGGGGGACCCGTGAGTAAAGACCCTCCTGTTTCAAGTTGCATGACTAATGTAAGGTGATTCCGCCAAGGTCAGGAGCCAGGCAGTTCCGTCTCCTGTCCAGTAGGCAAGGCTCAGGGGACTAGATCTTCCTGGGATTGCCTCAGGTCTAACTAGCCAGTTCCTTGGCTGAGTATGTGAAAATGAAAGAGGACAACGGGGACAAAAGCCTGTCTGGGCCAGAATTTCTAGTCTCCTCAGGCTCATATGACGAGGTGTGTGGCATGGAAACAGAAGAACACAATTCACAATTATCGTTGGGCTGTTTATTTTCTTCCATGTAGTTTTGCCTTTCTTTATTAAAGCCTACATGGATTCGTGGGTACAAACTGGTGATTGTTTTCTGTCACCTGTGATCTTACAGGCCTGCATTGCCCTTGAACTGCTCACAGAGTGAACAGTTGCCATATAAGGAGTCCTCCCCTCCTGCTAGTACTTATCAGGTTCTTTGGGCTGGGTCATGACTGAAAGGATAGCCATCACCATATTAATACCAGGTGTTGTACAAATACATCATCAAATCATATAGTGTGTGATTTAGGGGGCTAGGGGTCAGAGCCTCTGTGCCGTCCGTTCAGGCAGTAGCCAGGGGAACAAGCATGCCATTTCCAGATATGCCCTCCCCACTTGGGCCACCCGCCTCACTTTCACACCGGACCTCAATGCCACTGTTCATGAGCAGCAGAACTGAGAACTTGAATGAGCAGGTGGCACTGGGTCCCTGAGGATTGCGTGATTTCCTTTTGCTCAACTTCTTCAATGCCTTTTTTGTGCTGAATTCTTTCTTGCTGAGTGTCTGATAGGGGGCAGCCTCTTATTTCTCTGGGGAGGGGTTGAGGTGGTATCTGGCCAAGTATGATTCATCTGGTTTCCTTTTGTCTTGATGTTCTGGATGAGCCAAGGTTTGTCTTTCTGGAAATTGCTGTTTCTGTACACCTGAAACAAAATTAATTCAGTAATTCTGGGAGAAAAATATATCTATTTGACATTAACTGGCCTCTCAGAATCTTTACTCATCCCTGCAGGTTATCTCTAAGGGGGTTACAGTTTCATGTGGAAATCTATACTTTCTCATCTTTGGAAAAATACTATCTCATGTGAAAAAGAGTTATCCCCTGAAATGAAACCCTTTCAGTATATCATTCTTCTGGGCCTACTAGGAAGATGTTTGAGTAACAGAGAACATGGGACATGGGAGGACTTTCTACTTTACCATCATCCTGTTCCCTGGAGAGTTGCCTGGGCATATTTTGCTGAATCCGATTCAGCAAGCGGATGGATGAACGTCTTCAGGCTGTCAGATTCAAAGATTTGCTCCTTGCCCCTTCAGCAAAGAACCTCACATTGGAAAAGATCTTTCTCAATGATCCTGGTGTCTCCAGCATCATTCCAGTGCACAGACATGGAGGCATCATCCTCCACTATCCCCCAAAGCTTTCTTGGGAAGGACAGTTCCAGAAGGTCATTGTTTCCTTCCAATTTGGCAACGTGTTGGCTTGGGTCCTCTGGTTATGGGTTGTCTTGGCACCCTGCTTGGTACCCGTGTCTCTCCAACACCTGTGATAGAACCAGCTTGGCTCCGTGCATCTCATGGGTACTCAGACTTGGCATGGAGATGCTCTACATTAAAAAGCATTGACTACTCTAATCCTATCACTGAGCAGGGGGTTCACAGCAAGGATGCCCAATATATACTGCCCTCCAAATTCTAGAGTCTCAGCCGTGGGGCAACCAGCTGCTTAAGTCATGTGATTTCACAAAGGTGGCTCACAGCTGCTCTGGAGTGTGGGCCCTGGACAAGTGTGGGGGAGTGGATGTGCATAGGGCCCCCAGGTTCTCTCTTTCCAAAAAGTACAGAAAAATCGGGTTCAGGTTACCAGAAAGAACTCTCATCTGCTGCCAGGGAGACTGTTTCTTGTTGATAGTTCACTGGATGTGTTGAGAGGTCATGATCCTATTTCTACTTTCATCCCTAGAGAGGGGGAGGCCTGTTGATGGCCTCTTTGATAGCTCAAGGTCAAGGACTTGGTTAGTCCTAGCTTGGCTACCACCAAGAATGCCTGGGTCAGATGGGCCCCTGGGGGACTGTACCTCCCGTAAAATGGTGTTTGGCCCCATCTCAGTAGGTAGCCCCCATGTCCAATGCACCCTCCACAAGCATGCTGCTTTGGTCTCTTCCAGCTACTCTTGCTGGTTGGTGGGTCCTGCTCAGATATGCCCAAACTAAGAGTCCTGTTTTATTACCCCTGGGTCAAGTTGTCTCTAGAGTAGAGTTGTATTCCTGCATAGGTGGCAGCACAAGCAGTGGTACCTTCCCATGGTACCCATTCTATCTCCCTTTTCAGAGTATTAAGACCAAAATTAACCACAAAAGCTAGAGAACATGGATCACAAAAACCACTATAGTATCCTCTCCTCTTTGGTGAAGATGAATTGAATTTGACTTTTGTCCCATCCCACACCCAGGCTCTCATCTATGTTCAAGGACATAGTT